GTGGACGTTATAAATGCACTTACTTCTATTATCGTAATGTTTTGATTCGATATTAATCTCTAAACGTTTCGACTTTAATCTTGGAATGTTTTGACTTTAATCTCGAAATTTTTCAGCTTTAATCTCAAAATATTTCAACTTTAATCTCAATGTTTCAACTTTAATCTCGAAATATTTAGACTTTAATCTCCAAACGTTGCGACTTTAATCTCCAAACGTTTCGACTTTAATCTTAAAACGTTTCGACTTTAGTCTCAAAACGTTTCGACGTTAATCTCAAAACGTTTCGACTTCAATCTCGAAACATTTAGACTTTAATCTCGAAATTTTTCGACTTTAATCTCAAAATATTTCGACTTCAATCTCGAAATGTTTCGACTTCAGTCTCGGAATTTTTCGACTTTAATCTCAAAACATTTCGACTTTAATCTTGAAAGGTTTCGACTTCAGTCTCTGAATTTTTCGACTTTAATCTCAAAATATTTCGACTTTAATCTCGAAATTTTTCGACTTCAGTCTCGGAATTTGTCGACTTTAATCTCAAAATATTTCGACTTTAATCTCGAAATTTTTCGACTTCAGTCTCGGAATTTTTCGACTTTAATCTCAAAACATTTCGACTTTAATCTTGAAATGTTTCGACTTTAATCTCGAAATATTTAGACTTTAATCTTGAAATGTTTCGACTTTAATCTTGAAAATTTTCGACTTTTTCTCGAAATTTTTTGACTTTTTCTCAATTTTTCAATTTTAATCTCAAAATATTTCGACTTTAATCTCGAAATGTTTCGACTTTAATCATGCTTCGACTTTAATCTAGAAACTTTTAGACTTTTTCTCGAAATTTTTCAACTTTTTCTCAAAATTTTTCAATTTTAGTCTCAAAATATTTCGACTTTAATCTTGAAATGTTTTGACTTTAATCATGTTTCTACTTTAATCTCAAAATGCTAGATTTTTTTATTTTTTTTTTTTTTTTTTTTTTACTTTTCGGTTCAGGGCTTGCGTACCTGACTGTACTGTAAGATTTTTTTATGTTTTTGAAAGAAGTCTCTTCTGCTCACCAAGGCTACATTTATTTGTTCCAAAATACAGCAAAAACATTAATATTGTTAAAAATTTAAACATAAAACTCAAAAATTGTTTTCTATTTGAATATATTTTAAAAATGTAATTTATTCCTGTGATGGCATTATGGCAAAGCTGAATTTTCAGCATCACTACTCTAGTCTTCAGTGTTATGATTCTCTGCTCAAGAAACATTTATTATTATTATCAATGTTGAAATAGAAATCTTTTGCAACATTATACACTAGCATTTAAACGTTTGGGCTCAGTAAAAAAATAAATTGGAATGAAATGAACAATTTTATTCAACAAGGATGACAGTAAAGACATATCATTACAAAAGCTTTCTATTTCAGATTTTAAATGTTAAAAATATTTCACAATATTACTGTTTTTACTGAATCATATAAATGCACCCTTGGTGAGCAGAAGAGACTTTCAAAAACATTCATTTTTCAATTTTCCCCACTTATATAACCTCTATATTAATCATTATGTATTTGCATAAATGTCCTCTTTTCCCAGATTTAACAAAGAAAAGCTCCATTCTTTGGTGACAGAGAGGTGTTACCCTGTAAGTAAATCTGTATATTGATTTGATATATTAATATATTGATCTGTATATGATTTGTAGTGATTTCAGATTATCCAACCTGTGTGTGTGCATGTTTTGCAGGAGATGGTTCGCGGGAACCGTTATAAGACTCTACGCTGGCGCTTCATTGAATCACTGGAGCCGCCACGAGTGGTTCATACACGGTGTCCTGACATGATCAGCAAGGGCAACCTGTACGGCCAGGTGACTCTCCGCATGCATTCTAGACAGGTGAGTGAAGAAGAATGGGATTATATGGGATTACTGAGTTTGGGTTCATGATACCACTTCATCGATCCATCTCTCAGACATTAGCAATCTATGACCGTTTTGGCCGACTGATGCTGGGGGATGAGGATGAACCCAGAGATGTCCTGGAATACCTAGTGCTGGAGAGGCATCTGGTCAACCCTTATGGTCGCTGGAGACTTCACGGCAAGATTGTTCCAGCATGGGCTCCACCAAAAGATCCCATTATTAAGGTAAATGACTGCTGTTTGTTTCCATAAAAATGATCATTTACTTTATATATATTAGTGTTGCACGGTGCACTGATACTTAAAGTATCGCGATTCTCGGAAATTAAAAACCTCACGATACCAAAATGTATTAGTATCAATACTTTTATGAATGACCTGTTCCAGATTTGTAAGATACATATTTCATGTTGGTGTGTGAAACGCACGCTTCCAGTGCCATCCGGACTGATAGTTATACATTGCAAGTTCTTAGCAACACAATCCGGCGGACTGGTGTGTGGCCGCTGCCCTCGCGCTTCCGGGTAAAAGACACTGTATCCATGCAACTGATAGCACGAAAAAGAGCGCTCCGCTTGATTTAAAAAAACCCAACAGATTTTAGCGCTAGATCTCTTATTTAATAGCGAACTAAATGAATGCTCTACTAGTTAACTGGAGATCCTTTATTTATTTTTGTATTAGGTGTATAACTTCCCCCCCAACTTTCATAGATGGCATAAATAATTTGCAAGCTGCTAAAATAAAGCATACAAAACATCAGCTAAAATGATCTATTGGCTATATGATTATAATAAGAGCATGAGCATGTTTGTCAGTGATTTATTTATAGGTTATTGCAGCATTTAAAGAGCACAGATCTTTGCAAAAGAGGTGCATGTAAAACGCCTTCTAAGAAATAGGCCTACTTTTCCTTTTCAGGAAAAGTATCGAAATTGCAATTCTTGACTTGGTATCGGTATCGAAACATTAATTTTGGTATCGTGACAACACTAATACATATATATATATATATATATATATATATATATATAACATATGAGTTTTTTAAATAAATTGTATGTGCAATTTAAAAACAATCTATTAAATGTGATGTTTGGATTAGATGTGTGAAGGAGCAGAACGTGGAATATTTTTTAAATTGAGAGATGTTACTTAATATCTGACATCTGATTTCAACAGACTGTCATGATTCCTGGTCCAAAGCTGAAGCCCGATGAAGAGTTTGAGAGTCTGAATTACCAGGTACCAAAGCCGAAGGCAGTGCAGTGGCATAAGTAATTCTGAATGTGGTGCCTTACTCCGCCCAACACAGGTCCACTCTGTACAGACTGATTCCTGATAATCAAAATAAATATTACTGTATTTATAAAACCTTGGGTTGTTGCTTTTTTCCCCACATTTAATTAAAACAATGTTAATTGAACTCAGGTACTTTGAAATACATGCACATATTCATTTGTCACGTACAGTGATCAACATGATGTTAATTCATTTCACATGGAACTGAATGAAAATCGACACCTTGCAGTTGAAACGTTTATTTCAGAATGCTCAATTGACAGAGTTTCAAGAATATAAAAATAAAATGTTGCATTTTTTACTATGGCAGAAGTTAGTGGAAACTTTCTTTTGGCTACTGTTGAAAATTGACTGTTGTTTCTTACAAAAATCTTACTTGCTTCATACAAAAGCACAGTCTTTATATTCCTGGTTTGAAAAGCTAACATTGCTAGTACATTCAAAATCACAGAATAACTAAAAAACAAACTGTAAATCTGGTAGGAAGTATAAGTGCAATCTAATGGTCTACGTGTGCTAATCTCTAGTTATTTTAAGAAGAAAGCAGCATGGGAAAAGGTTGAAGTAAACACTTTTTGTAAACCCTCATTTAGTTTCACATGCTCATTGCCCACATTGGGACATACAATTGTATTCTAATAAACAACAAGAAGAATTTTCTGGACTAAACCACTCAATTCACAAACCAAATTTAATCATATTTAAAACACGTTTTCTTAAAGATCAAGAGTTTGCCCTAGATAAAGATTATATTTTATGTCCATTTTACTGTAATTTCTCACAGCGTACGATTAAAAATGAGTAAAAGTCATGAACATAATGGGATTAATATTGAAATGTTTTGTGAAGCTATTTGTAATTAAAAATGCTATAAACAATATTATAAAATCACAACAGTGTTATAAACTTAGGTTCTGTAAATGGCAAATAAAGCCTATTTTTTCCACAATCATAAACCTTGTTGGCCCTTGTATCACTTCGCACTTTAAAGGAGAACTCCGGCGCTAAATGAACCTTTGGTCTAATAAAACATCGGTACCTAGTCAACTGTTCTCTGAGATTTGTTTTCATGATAATCGAATGTAAAGAGTTCATCTCTAAAAACTGTTGAGGGTAAAACGCTAGTAATAGGGGCATTTACTAAGTAAAAAGAAATCGCTAGTTTAAAGCCCTAACAAGGCTCAAAATAGCCCCACACTTACACAGTAACATAATGAGGGTCCATACATGCAAAACGAAGCATTGAGAACTTTTTAAGTGTACAGACCGTTTAATAAGAAGATACTTTATAAAGACAGTTCACTTTGTGTATACAGGCAGGAGCCATCTTTGGAAAACAGACTCGATAAGTCGAACCACGAACGCCGTTCATACAGTTCAGAAGTTCTCTGAACTTCATACAGTTCAGCTCACTTGGCACGTCGTTCGTGGTTCGACTTGTCGTGACTTGTCGACTTGTCGTTTTCCCAAGATGGCTCCTGTCTGTATACATGAAGTGAACTGTCTTTATAAAGTATCTTCGTATTAAACGGTCTGAACTCTTACAACGTTCTCAATGCTTTGTTTTGCATGTAGGGACCCTCATTATGTTACTGTGTTAGTGTGGGGCTATTTTGAGCCTTTTTAGTGGTATAAACTAGCGATTTCTTTTTACTTAGTAAATGCCCCCAGTACTAGCATTATAGCTACGCTAAACCATTTTTAGAGATAAAACTCTTTACATTCGATTATCATGAAAACAAATCTCAGAGAACGATTGACTAGGTACCGATGTTTTATTAGACCGAAGGTTCATTTTGCGCTGGAGTTCTCCTTTAAGGTTTGCCAATATTTAGTTGACTGACATTTTTGGAGGGTGGAGTTTGAGGAGAAGGTATGTGGCTGAAAATGCCTGAAATACAGTGAAATACACAATAACAACACCTTTGTATTAAGTATGTTATATGGATATGTAATAGCTGATACAGTAAAGTGTGATCCTTTTTAATTAATAATTTTTGAATTTTTGACTTCTTATCAGGAAATACCATGGTGAGATCATTTGTAAATTGTTAACCAGTCTTGTTGAAATGCGTTATTTGAGATTTTGAAGTAAAACTTAGAACATGTTTGTCTAAACCATTTTAGTACAGAGACTAAAGATCCGTTTAAAATATGCAGCAATGAACAGTAGCAACATGGAACATATAAACACAATCCAGAACAGCTTGTCTCTTCACTTACTTGCTTGTTCAAACATTAGTGCAATGTTTGTTGACTGAAAATGTGTAAAAATAAACTTTCTATATGTTCCACCTAAGGTATGTTGGTGATACAGGTTTTACTGACAATATAATCTACATAGCCATATGAACACAAATGCACACAAAACAATACCAAATTGGACGGGGTTTGTTTTAATGTAAGGCTAAAGGGAAATGTGCACAGGAGAGCAGTCAGTCAGTCTTCATTTATTAAGCTGAGGAGGGAGAAGGTTGCCGCTGTAAAATGACGGTCAGTGAAATGTTCTGTTGGCAGTAGAGGGGTATTCTGCATAAAGCTGAAATGTATGAACAGTGGTCCATTTTGTAATAAGTCTTTCAAGACATATAAAGCACAATGATACTGCCCTTGTGGGTCACAAGTCTGAAGGAAAGATGAAGGCCTCTGCAGCAGTTTCTGCATCATCGTCATCTTCCTCTGGTATCGTCTCCTCCCAAGTGAAGATATCTGAATTATCAAGCATTTGTATAGATTCTTGTCTGCCCCCTTCCATTTCCCAAGGGCACATCGCGTCACGGCGAGCTAGAGGTAGGTTAACTCTCGTCTCCTCTGTGGCCTGTGTGCCTGTGTCTGAAGGGTGTATGTCCTGGGCAGTTTGACTATTGCTGCCTTCTGTTATGGCTGCTGTTCTTATGTCGTTTTCCAAGGGACTGATAGATTCTAGAGCACTGTCTTGCCTTTTTGATGGGGAAGCCTGAGAGTCTTGTGACACAGATTGTTTGGGGGATCCTTTTGCCTCCCATGGACTGACATTTGAATAGACACTTTCTTGCTTTTGCAAGGTTTTCACTGACTCACCTGTCTCCCATGGACAGACATCTGCAAGAACACTGTCTTGTTTCTGCAAGGCTTTTGCAGGCTCTCCTGTCTCCCATGGACAGACATCTGTACGGACACTGTCTTGTTTCTGCAAGATCTTTGTTGGCTCTCCTGTCTCCCATGGACAAACCTCTGCAAGAACACTATCTTGTTTCTGCAAGATCTTGGTTGGCTCTCCTGTCTCCCATGGACAAACCTCTGCAAGAACACTGTCTTGTTTCTGCAAGGCTTTTGCAGGCTCTCCTGTCTCCCATGGACAGACATCTGTACGAACACTGTCTTGTTTCTGCAAGATCTTTGTTGGCTCTCCTGTCTCCCATGGACAGACATCTGTACGAACACTGTCTTGTTTCTGCAAGATCTTTGTTGGCTCTCCTGTCTCCCATGGACAAACCTCTGCAAGAACACTGTCTTGTTTCTGCAAGATCTTTGTTGGCTCTCCTGTCTCCCATGGACAGACATCTGTACGAACACTGTCTTGTTTCTGCAAGATATTTGTTGGCTCTTCTGCCTTCCATGGACAAACATCTGCATAAACACTTTTCTGCTTCTGCAAGGTCTTGATAGTTTCACTTGTCTCCCATGGACAGACAACTCCACAGACGCTTTCTTCTTTCTGTATGGAGTTCACAGACTCGTTTGTTTCCCATGGACACACAATTACACTAACAGTGTCTTGCTCTTGGTCTACTTGCATTGACTCCTTGTTCGTACCACCTTCCCTCTCTTCTAACTTCTCAGAATCCCCTTCTTCCAATGTTGCTTTTTTAGTCATTGTCTCTTTTAAAGAGGATCTTGTAGTGTCTCTTGTTTTTGACTCTGTCTCCCAAGGACTTATGTCAGTTACAGGTGGTGGGGGTTCAGGAAAATCACTTTCTTCTTGTTTCTGTGTTTCACTTGTTTCAACGGAACATGCAGCTCTCTGAGCTGGTTCTTGGTGTACTGGACTTACATTGACATAAATTACCCTTTCAGCAGGTTTTATTGTGTCACTGATAGTTTTGATGGATCCCTGTCTAACCTGAAAGCTATTTGTGTCTATTACATAAGAAGGGCATGCTTCAGGCTTTACGTTTACCTGCTTATGGGTGTCTCTAGACAAAGGGACTTCAAGAGTGGTAGTACATATATTGTCTTCTGTGATCCTTGATGGGTCACTGTTGGTTTCCCAAGGACAGGCATCAGCACATGTGCTCTTGGTTTGCAATTGCTCTACTTCCACAACTTCCCAAGGACAGACGTCAGAAATGCTAGTTTGATGAAAAGGTTTTGGGACATCCCACGGACACACTTCAGTATTTGGAACAGACAATAAAGAATTTACTTGGGAGTCAGGGGATTTGAAGCCAACATTACTTTTTGCCATAGAGAGTATTTGCTTGTCACTATGTTGTCTTTGTAATACACTGTCGTTCACATTTTGCTTCTTGACTTCCAAGATTACCTCTTCTGACTCCCATGGACAGATGTGAACTGGAGCAGTATGATTGGGGCTCCTTTCAGGAGACTCTGTAGATGGCTGCCGTATTGCTATTTGCTTTACAAGGAAAGGTTTTGTGCCTATGGTAGTCATAGCCCGTCTGTGTGTCTGCGGGGTACGTTTGTCTGAAGCTGCACTGCCTGGGGATAATCTCATAGATGTGGACTGGGATTTTTGAAGTGTTCCCTCCTTAACATGACTTTCTTGTAGGCCTTTCTCTTTGCTCATACTTCTTCCAACTTCCGCAATGCTTTTTGCTGTAAGGAGATTTTTGGTTGCAGAGCGGAAAGAGAAAGCTCGAAAATCCTTTGGCTTGTCTGAGAGTGTAAGTGGCGACCCTGGAACGCTACAGGAGATCGTAGGCTTGGGTTTTGTGCAATCAACATCTGACTGTACACCATTGCCAGTTTCTGTTGCAGTGGGAGTAGGAGGTGGTAAGTATTCCCAAGGACAAACGTATATTAGTGTTGGTGATGAGTCCGCACCAGGTGATTTGGGTTCTTCTTGATTTGATAGAGAATATGTGACATGTTTCTGATTCTTGTTTGCTGGTTGCTCCTCTGGAACCTCCCATGGGCAGACCTCTGCCTTGTCAAATGACTCTGAGAGCAAGGCACTTGAAGTCTGCTTCTTTATGTCGACATCCACAGTTAGCTGGGGTTTTTCTGCTGGGGTAGCTTTGCCAGGAAATGACACATTTTCAATGCTTCTGCAAGTAGTCACAGAGCGATGGTCATTTCGTTCTATAACGCTGAGTGACTTTTGAAACCTGGTAGGCTCGGGAAGTAGAAGGTTAGTGTCTAACGATAGATTGTGGGCACTTGCAGACTTACAGATCAGCAATGCTGCATTGATGGATCCTGCGTCAGACTGCTGTGAAGCCCTTCTGTCTGTTTTGCTCTTTATTGAGCAGTTTAAAAGGGAGACCTCTCTTTCTGGGGTACAGTCATAGGCACTATGGGACTTTTGCAGTTTTGGAGAGGGCTGCATTAAAGTTTCATTCATCGTGTTAATGCTTGTGGTTTGATGACATCTGTAATAAGATCCAGATCGGGTTATAGTTCCTATTGCAGCACTGACATCTTTGTCTTCACGGCTGCATTGCCTGCTTAAACTTTCTGGAATCTCAGTGATCCGTTTTATAAGGGATCGTCCAATACTGAGGCGAGAGCTGCGCTTCTTTGGAAGGTGAGGATTGCTGTTTGCCATCCTCTTGGTCTTGTGGACTTCCAACTGAGAATACAGTTTCTTCAGCTCATCCTGGTGCAGAGGAAAAAAAGGGTTTCAATTGAGGAAAGTCATTGGGAGCAATACAGTAGGACGGTTTTTGAGATGGTATTTACTGTACAAAACATGATGTTCAAAATGCACCAAATTACAGGGTAATATTTTTAAAAAGGGCAAGATAAAGGCAAAATAGGAGTAGGAGGAAGAGGAGGAGGCTAGCATAAGTAATAATACTGTATTTATATGTAAGTTGATGTTTAATAATAAAGATACTCAGGGGATGTTGGCTTATGGGGAGTCAGGTTTAAGTTCCATCGCCCCCCCTCTCTCGCTATTTAAAAATATCAGAAATACATACACCACAGAAAAATACCTTTATTTATCTTGTAATTTATGAGCTTTTTGTTATTTTTAAGTTATATTTTCTGCATTCTGCTCCGTCTCATGCACTGTTGTGTTAGCTTTCAAAGTACACTCAACCTTGGATGGACGAGTTCGACACATGCGCAGTACAATTGCATTTTTTATACTCTGCCAGACAGAGGGCAGGACTGAGTCTTGTCATTTACAAGATATTCGCTCAGAAGGATAGAAGGGAAGGGTGGTTCCACCATTATATGCAAAGTTTAGAACAAGAAACAAAACGAAAACTATGGAGAAGAATATTGTTTTGAATTTTTCTTTCTGTATATTTATTTTACCCCTTTCAAACAGCGTTAATCCCAGAAAATTGCCATATAATTGCTATTGTGACCGCAAACACATTCTGGGATTGATCCCGGGATGGGGACCTTGTAACATTGCAGGATTCAGTCCCGGAACGTGCCCTGTGTGAGCAAATGGCAAGACCAATGCCATAACGGGTGTCTCGTAGTGATGACGAAGGAAGCTAAGATGGTTCGCCAGCTTAGTGGAATGGTACGCAATATGCGCGTTTATGATCGAATCAGAAAAAAATGTGCATATTATAAGCTAATTGGACACTGTGGAGATATTCCACGTCACATCCTGATTTTACGTGTCTTCATGGGATGTGTGTGAACGCACTCACAGATTCCAGAAAATCACTGACAGTGTGAATTAACCAAAGTTAAACGACACATTTTACAACATGGCATCACAACTTGCGTAAACATACATGGCACTTTCAAGTGAAGTGGCGCGTTATCTATACGCATTTTGAGCTATCCGCGTGCATGCGTGTATGTCTACGCCGTTAAATGTCCGAGTGATTCCGCGTGTATGCACACGCCATTAAATGTCCGAGTGAAACGAAGCAAAATGTAGATCTACATCAGGGGAGCGATATTTTTTTTCCTAGGATGGTAGGGGAAGACTCATAAATGTTATTAACCCCAGTGACTGGTAGGTTTAGGGATAGGGTTGCGGTAGGTCATATTTATGTATACAGTAATGTAACGTTTAGTCAATGGCGTTCATAAACACGCTGAAAATTAGTTTCTGTTCCTCTCACTTCCGATTTCGTTTTAACTCCTACGGTGGCCAATGTAGTCCAAGATTAACATGGCTTCCAGGTCGACCTCGTCCATGAGTGTTAAATCAAACGTAAACGCGAAAGGCGAAGCTTGAATTAACGGGTATGTCCCTCTTTGGCTAATGTACTTTCAAGATGGAGGGGCAACATGGCGACCGACATTAGAACCCCTTACCCGTATGTATTTTCAATGGCATATTATACACTCACGAGAATACTTTATTACTTGCACGAATTAAATATTCATTAATAAGCACGTATATTTTTGAAAGAACTAAGTGTTTTTAGCTAAGAATATACTAAAAGAGTTACACAGTGTAGCTTTAAGTTATTCGCCGTCAAAGTGACGCCAAAATGAATTGGTGTCAATGGAATGCTAACAGCAGTTGAAGGCTTGCTAGCCAATGGCCGCCCCTGGGGAGGCTGGTGGATTACCCCCTTGATCATGACTGTGCATATTGCCACCTGGTGGACTCTTCTGTCTCAACATTCACCTTGCACATGCTCTGTTGTACACAACACAAAAAATTGGGTTGCATGCGTACAGTACAGCAGACCTGATGACGAAAATTATGTCGCACAGACAGTCGTACAACGCAGATGGACCAAGTATACATTGAGCTTTTGTGTAACCTTTATGAAAATTTATTATATGAGAATTTAGACTTTGTTAATATTAATTGACTAATTTACTCTATTGAAAAGTTAAAATGTACACTTTTAATGTAATTCCAAAGTAGACATTGTCATAAAGTGTTAGTAGGTGTCCTTTTCTTAAAATGGAGGTTTGTGCATGTGTGTTAGTAGGGCTGCGGCAGGGCAAAGTGTTTTACCCGAATGTCATCAGGGTCCAGGCTGTGGTCACCCCAACAGTTCGAGGTGAAGCTACTGTTGAGGTAAGAACATGAGCGTCGCAATTCCACTTCATCCTCGTACACCTCTGCAGCTATTTCCTCTCGGCCTGGCCGTGACATGTGAAGAAACTGCAACAAACACCAACGCTGATTTGTACATAGGGTAAGCTACACAACAAATGTGAAAAATGTGACAGAATTTAATAAGTAGAATCTAGTTTGCATGTTTATGCTATGTATTAAAAATATGTATTTTGCTGGAAATGTACATAATTTTGAGTGTGTAATAAATGTTTTATTTTTGTAGGACGTATTACAACATAAAAGGTTTGCGTTGCCACAATCCTCTTCTACTACGCAAACAGATTTAGGTGATATCTGCCAGCAAGCATGCATAATGCACACTTCAAAAATTAGCTCCATTGGCTTTTTAATAATAATCAGGCATAATATTTAGACATTACAGTATGTGAATTAGCATGCAAGAAGTGTTTTATGTGTTACAGTATATAGATAGCTAACTTTATGCCAATTGTGATTTTTACCTACTATATAATTAATGAATAAGTTAAAAAAAATTGCACAAGTAAAAAATGATACTTTAGACAGTACCTTAGGTACGAAAAGCAGGCCGAGTGTTACAGTAATTGTGACATGCGTGTGAGTGAAGAACAGCAAGAGCATCCAGTCAGGATGAATCGATGGCCTGGCAAATCTGAAAGCGACACGAACAAAGAAGTCAACAGAACAAACTCTTATTTATTAAAGCAAAACAACTTTATTCCCATACCTAAGAAGATGAAACAAAGAAGAGAGGAGTAGCTCATTGTGGATAGCGATGCTCATGTAACGTGGTTCGTGAAATGCTGAAGGTACCGTCTTCACTGCACTGCACAGGAAACTGCCCCAGCACAGAAACAACAGCTCCGCTGAGAGTGAAAAACAACGTACTTTTTTATTTCAAAGCTTTAGTTTGTCACATACACAAATGTACACAGCAGAAATAATTAATTAATTATTATTTATTCTGGGTTACTCCATTTGGTTTGAGCTAATGTTGCCTTTTATAATGTTGTGATAAGGTCAAAATATCTAATATTTAATGTTTTCTTTAAAAAACAATGACGGTGGCACAATTGTAAATGTTTACAGATGTTCTCTCTGTGTAGTGTCCTGTTTAATGGTTTTCTTGACATGTTACAATAGTTTTAAGTACATGCCAAGCAACGCATGTTTTTTTCCTAAAAATGTTAACCTTGAAATTACAATCTTCAGACAGTTACACCAACTATAAATTTGAACCCTATGAAACTATCAAAATGACTTCATCTTAAAACGTTAATCATGGAAGACGTGTATTTAAAGGAGTAGTTCACTTTAGAAAAAAAAACTTTTGCTGATAATTTACTCACCCTCATGTCATCCAAGATGTCCATGTCTTTCTTTCTTCAGTTGAAAAGAAATTAAGGTTTTTGATGAAAACATTCCAGGATTTTCTCAATATAATGGACTTCATTGGGAACCAAATGGTTCAAGGTCCAAATGAGAGTTTCAGTGCAGTTTCAAAGGGCTTTAAACAACACCAGAAGATGAATAAGGGTCTTATCTAGGACCCGTCGAGTCATGACTCGGAAAAAGATTTGTTCATTTTGATTAACGAGTTCGAACAGGAGAGTCACCAACGTGCTTTTTTTATTCATTTTTGAAATGACCAATCGTTTCGCTTGATAAGACCCCTATTCATAGTCTGGTGTCGTTTAAAGCCCTTTGAAGCTGCACTGAAACTCTCATTTGGACCTTGAACCGTTTGGTTCCCAATGAAGTCCATTATATGGAGAAAATCCTGGAAAGTTTTCATCAAAAACCTTAATTTCTTTTCATGACATGGGGCTGAGTAAATTATCATCAAAAGCTTTTTTTTTTTTTTTTTAAGTGAAATACTCCTTTAAGTTGTATGAATTGCATTTTAATGTTTTAAATATTTTAATAACTAAAGTCCAAACTAAAAAGTGAGCATCAAAACTAAATGGAAGAGAGCCATTTATGTACAAACATCAACAGAAGAAGGGATATGTATTTAGAAGAATATATACAGTGTTGAGTATGAGTATTATTGTAGCTGTATAAAAAATGCAAGGTTCAATTTGTGTAAGCTGTCTGAATATGCCAGAATGGTTGTATAAATCTATTTATCTCCTGGTGTCATTTCAGTTCAGTCCCTCATTTATTTATGACATTATAGCAGTAACATCATTATTTTTGTGCTATTTTATTAGTATGGCAGGTAGTGGTTAATGCTGAATCATATCCAATGACAATGGTACTGTGTTCAAATCATCAACTAAATGCTTCAAAGAACATTAAATTATCCAGGAGCATTCATCCTTTCATTTGTCTGATCTACTAATGTGCCCCAATTTCAATTAATCTCTCTGCCAGACACCCAAGAAAACCCATGGACTACCACCACCGCACCAGTCAGAAATGACCTCACTTACCCACAGCCATCATGTAGTCCCACCGGTCCAGGTCGCACACATTGAAGCCTTGTCCTTCTGAGGTGGAGGAAATGATCAGCAATGGGACATTTCGGTCTCGATTCTGCAGGACGCCAACTGTCCATGCACACAGGAACCAGCTGACAGTAAGCACTATAACTCCCAGCATCCTCAGCACACCCGTGGTGGTGATGTATGGCACTCTCTGGGCCGTACGAGACAGGAAAACCCTCAGAACCCTGGAAATATGGCACATCACATAGACTGAATCATTTTGGGGTTTTCCCTAATTACATACAAAACAATACAACTTTTGAAAAAAAGTAGAAAAAATACATTTATATGCACTCTTCTGTGCAGCCTAATAAAAGCTGTTTAAATTTCACTCACGGAGGCCGACATGTTGTAGCGACCTTGTTATTGGAAACGTTTGTTAAGGGACTAAATTTATTCTACAATGGAGAAATTCAATTAATTCATATAAATCAATATATACCTATACATTTCTACAATTCTACAATAAGTACCACAAAAAAAAAAACATGAAAAATCGTCCTTTTAAAAAAACTTTTGCTGATAATTTACGCACCCCCATGTCATCCAAGATATCCATGTCATTCTTTCTTCAGTCGAAAAGAAATTAAGATTTTTGATGAAAACATTCCAGGATTTTTCACCATATAATGGACTTCAATGGGGACCAAACGGTTCAAGGTCCAAAAGACAGTTTCAGTGCAAACTGCAAACTGTTCAAAGGGCTTTAAACGAATTCAGAAAATGAATAAGGGTCTTATCAAGCGAAACGATCGCTCATTTAAAAGCTCAAGTTTAAGTTTTATAAGCTCAAATGGTCGCCTTGCTTTGTTCTGTGATGCACGTTCGTGACTCTCCTGTGCGAACTCGTTTATCAAAATTAATTTTTTAATTTATTATACTTTGTTAATTTATTTTTAAAATGAGCGATCGTTTCGCTTGATTCATCCTCTGAAATCGTTTAAAGCCCTTTAAACAGTTTACAGTTTGCACTGAAACTGTCTTTTGGACTTTAATTGAACCGTTTGGTTCCCACTGAAGTGCATTATATGGAGAAAATGCTGTTTTCATCACAAAAAAAAAATTCGACTGAAGAAAGAATGACATGGACATCTTGGATGACATGGGGGTGAGTAAATTATCAGCAAAAGTTTTTTTTTTTTTTTTTTTTTTTTTAAGTGAACTACTCCTTTAAGAATTGCATCTTATTACAGAACATTGACAGATGTGCAGGGGGGACAGTTAGAAGGGAGGGTTGAGTTTAATAAAGGACTGGACTGAAGTGCCACAGACCGGTACATCTTGAGTGTCACAGTTCCATAAACAATGGCAAAGCCGAGCAGACGGACCCAGCGGAGGAGGATACATCGGAAAGTGCTGGGTTTGAAGTATAGAATGAAGACCTGAAAACAAGAAATTATTGGTGGAAGGTGCAAAAATGCTTGTTTTACAAAAAAATTGTTTAAAAGTGTCCTATGTTCACCAAGGCTGCATTTATTTGATCAAAAGTAATATTGTGAACTAGTATAATAGTTTTCCATGCAAATATATTTTAAAACGTAATTTATTCCTATAATGGCCAAGCTGATTTTTCTGCAGCTGAACACCATTCAGAAATCATTTTAATGTGCTCATTGTTCAGTATCTCTAACCTAGTAAACAAGTAACCTTCAATTGTGTCATTTCTTGATCATTTTCCGCCTCCTAAGTGCCACCCAGCTATTATGATTTCAACTGCTGTGCAGTAATCTGAAAAGAAGCTCACTGGAAAGCACTCACTGGAAAGTAAAGCAACAGAGAGCCACACAGGATCATCTCCAGCAGCAAAAGCCCTGACGATCGGATCCGCTGAGAGACAGAAAGATGGTGAGAAGCAGAGGTGAAATTACAGCTGTCTGAAATGATGCATCATAACATGTGGCATTTTCAGATATGTCATATGCTGAAATCTTACCTTGGTTCTTCTGCACTGATATGCTGCCAGCATGCTAAGAAGCACAAGGACCATGAAGAGACCCTGCACAGTCAGGACGCCCGTTCTCAGGAGCCAGTCTTCCTGCACCCAACACGGGCCTCCGTCCTCACACTCAGCACAGCCGGGCCAACAGGGCAGACACACAGGGACTTCTGGGTAACAAGCTTGGGTTCTATTCACACGGCTGTTCACTGTAACACCATAACATATCATCATTTCTCTTTTTTTAAGTGTATTTAATTAATACGTTCACCTACATAATCATATAGCTTAATTATCAAAAATACAAATAACGTTAAGTTATGCGCTTTGGTCTAAAATCATGACCCCTCTGTTTGGATGGGTGTATCCAGGGCTTAAAATTAACACTCGTCAAGCGCCAAATGCGAGTAAAAACTAGTGTTGGCGAGTATATGAAACAGTCCCCAGTTGGCCGGTAACATTTTTATGTATTCTAAGACATGAGAACATGAACATGAACAAATGTAAACCAGTGCTGCATCGTCACGAAAGTTTAAGCCTTGCCCATTTAAATATTCAAGCGCAAGAAGACACAAATGGGATCTCAGTTTATTACTATTATTATTTTATTATTATTGTTATTATTATTTTAGTTTATTATTGTTGTTCGATTCAGTGCGAAAATGAATGGAAACACTTTAAAATGTCTCAAATCAATTCGATATACCAATATTTTATTATTACTATTTTATTTTAGTTTATTATTGTTGTTCGATTCAGTGCGAAAATGAATGGAAACATCTTAAAATGTCTCAAATCAATTCGATATACCAATATTTTATTATTACTATTATTATTTTAGTTTATTATTGTTGTTCGATTCAGTGCGAAAATGAATGGAAACACTTTAAAATGTCTCAAATCAATTCGATATACCAATATTTTATTATTACTATTATTAGTTTAGTTTATTATTGTTGTTCGATTCAGTGCGAAAATGAATGGAAACACTTTAAAATGTCTCAAATCAATTCGATATACCAATATTTTATTATTACTATTATTATTTTAGTTTATTATTGTTGTTCGATTCAGTGCGAAAATGAATGGAAACACTTTAAAATGTCTCAAATCAATTCGATATACCAATATTTTATTATTACTATTATTATTTTAGTTTATTATTGTTGTTCGATTCAGTGCGAAAATGAATGGAAACACTTTAAAATGTCTCAAATCAATTCGATATACCAATATTTTATTATTACTATTATTATTTTAGTTTATTATTGTTGTTCGATTCAGTGCGAAAATGAATGGAAACACCTTAAAATGTCTCAAATCAATTCGATATACCAATATTTTATTATTACTATTATTATTTTAGTTTATTATTGTTGTTCGATTCAGTGCGAAAATGAATGGAAACACTTTAAAATGTCTCAAATCAATTCGATACACCAATATTTTATTATTTTAGTTTATTATTGTTGTTCGATTCAGTGCGAAAATGAATAGAAACACCTTAAAAAGTCTCAAATCAATTCGATATACCAATTTGATCGCAAAACAGCATGTGACGTCATTACGTACAGGTTTTTATTCGCTTTAAAGCCGTTGGATGGAAACACACTTTCTCCAGCTTTATCCGCATGAGTTTTTTAACCGAGATAATTCGATTGACAAGTGGATGGAAACATGGCTACTGTGTGGGAAGTTTTCTGTGCGCAAACATCCAGAGCGTGCGCCCCGAAATTCGCATCTCAAGCAGGTCACGTTTACAAAATTGGGCGCTTCTCGTTGTCTTGCGCTTGAAACCAAACCAAATTATGTCAAAATCCCAGTATTACAAGTATCTCAATAAACATAGTCAGTTTTGTCTTAAGAGAATGCAAGTACTGATGCTTATCAGTATTTTGGACCTGCATTAGCTCTTAAAGTGACAGCAGCCTAATATTCCTGCTGCTGGCTGTGTTTTTAACTGTGTCATAACTGGGTGGGAAAGGATTGTGTGTGTTTGTGTGTGTGTTGGGTTTACCAACAATGCTATATCAGATATGATATGTACAATAATCCATGTTCAATTTTAATTGTATATTGAGGTTAATTTATCAACTTTTTCATCCTTAAAATCTACTCTACATTTAACCCCGAGATTCTTCACGTCAGAGAATAAATACATAAATCCCCTTTAGCTGTTTGTGTGACCCCATGGTCAGGTGGTAAAACTTTTTTTAAACGTGTCTGGGTTCTAGTCCGCCCTCGTATAGGTTTCTCAGAGAGTCTCCGCAACATCTTTTCACGATAGATTGAAGCGCACGTCTGTGCCAAGCCTGATAAGGGAGGCAATGAACACTCAGCGTGATTCTCATTCCAGCGCCAGACCGACTCTTTTTTTTTAACAAACGAACAAAATGAATGTTCTGCTTGTCAACTGGAGATGTTTCTTTAGGTACATCCATGCCGCAAAAAGTGGTGGGGACAAATTACACCTATGGTTTTTATTACTTTTTAAACAAAAAAAGACAAAGAAAATCCCTCACTGCAGTATATTGAATAACTTTTGTGACTTTAATAAGGATTAATCTGTTTCATGCCTGGTAAAAAATATATTTATGGCCGGTAAAAAGTTGGTTTTAGGCCATTTATACATAAAGAGAGGCAAAGCTCAATCGTTCCAAAGAACACAGAACAAGTTATACAAAATACATCAAAGCTAATGGTTTAATGCCTTTCTGTTATAACTTTGACCCTTGCCCAATCATTAATTGAGATACTTTTATATGGCATCATGTTAGCTATATATATATATATATAATCATGCAACTGATTTTTGATTATTTCAAGCCTCTTACTTTTGTTTTGTAAGTCTGGAACTGGACTGTAGTAGCCCTTTTTACATCGGCAGCAGTACTGACCCATCCGGAAGCCCTGTTGCGGGATGGGCTCACACTACGGGGAAGAGAAAGAACGAGAAGTAAAGTCAAAAGTCTGCTCATCCGTTTTACCTTCATCTGTAAGCAAACGACTTGCTCCTAGAAAGGCGAAATCAACACAGATGTTTCTGCCAGTATGATTGTGTTCTCTCTGCTTTCTGCCATTAATTGCATGTGTGGTCTCTCATCAGCAGTTTATCTGTGAGAGTCGGCCGACCCACACATCAGACTTAATCTAAGCTAAATCCTAAATGGAGGGGTAATACCTCTATTGGCAGAGCTTTATCTTTTTATTCAAGGAAATCCAGGGCTGTTCACATACATTTTATATGTTCATAGAACAAGATTCCTGTTTATAAGAGGATATTGTCAATATTGTTAAAAGAGTAATTGAGAATAAATAAAACAATAATAATTACTTACGAATCTCTATTCAGTGTCTATTCATACAAATAATTTTGTTGATTCTTAGAGTGGTGTAATGTTTTATTTTACAGATCTTTACCATGTCAAATAATTATTGAGTAAAACCAGCACTTTACTTAGCAGTATGTAACCTTGGGACTATATCATAGATCTCGTCAATTTAATGTTTCATGCAATTAATGCATTGTTATGACACAAAACTGTTCTATTAATACATTGCACCGTAGGCGGATCAACTCAATTCTCATTAAATTCGTTCAGTGGGCCAAATCCTGCTGTTGCTTAACCTGCCAACACCTGTGAGCCTGTGTTCTGGTAGGTCATGATGATGGGGGGGTCTGAGTGCTCTGGAAGGGGTATGAGCCTCTGCCTTCTGGGAGGTGTGTGTGGGGGAGGGGGGGTGGTTGTTGGGTTGTTGGGTTGTGGTGTGTGAGCATCCCAGGATTATCAGCCTAATCCTTCAGATCATCCTGCACCCAGTGCTCACATCTTTAGGTCTGGATGAAAGTGGAAGTATGATGATGGAAAACAGTGGGTAATGTAAAGGGGTAATGTATATAGGCGAACAGTCCAGCTATCCAACAAGTAAAGCAGGTGATGTTTGAATATGTTACTTAATAATATTCCAACATAACATTGAGATGCCAGATCTGATGGCAACAGGCATTATGAAATGTGCTGTATTAAAGTTAAAAGTATCGTTAATTTTCAAAAAGTGAAATATAGCCAAAATATTTCGAAGAATGTTGGTAATCAAACAGTTTTGATTACAATTGACTTCCACTGTATGGAGAAATAAAATAAATAAAAAAACTGAAGCATTTATGTCCCACAAAGGAAATAAATCCACAGATCTGCAACAACATAAAGTGTACGTTCTGACAGAATTTAAATTTACCCCCCAGTAATTTCCCAGGTACATACAGTAAAATCTCAATTGTGTTAATTAGTAAGGAATGGCAATCCAAAAACATGATGATATATACAGGAAAAAAAATTAAGGAGAGCATAGCTGATAACAAAATTCTAATGCTATCATAATAGCTATAAACGTGCTCACAAAGACACTTACAAAAATAAATCACTTCACCACAAATGTCCTCTTGACATTTAGCGACAGAGTGTTTTGAGTGGATCTCTGAATCTTTTCTGGCCCTGCTTGTTCCTGGTTAGTGAATTCTGACCATCTGAAGAAGAGCTCTGAACCTACAATGTAGCAGCTTCTTAAAGTCATTTTAAATACCCAAATGGTGTTAAAGGGTTAGTTCACCCAAAAATGAAAATTCTGTCAGTATTTACTCACCCTCATGTTGTTCCAAACCTCTGTGTTTATTTGTTCTGCTGAACACAAAGGAAGATATTTGGAAGAATGTTTTAATCAAACAGATCTCATTCCCCATTATCTCATTCCCCATTGACTACCATAGTATGAATACTATGGTAGTCAAAGGGGATTGAGATCTGTTTGATTAAAACATTCTTCCAAATACCTTCCTTTGTGTTCAGCAGATCAAATAAACACATGAGGGTGAGTAAATACTGACAGAATTTTCATTTTTGGGTGAACTAACCCTTTAAGAACCTGCTTTTTCTGTTTTTATATAAAAAAAAGTGGTGATACTTTACAATAAGGTTGTATTCATTAACTGTGCATTATGTGAGCTAACAATCTTTATTAATCTAAGTTAATTACTAAATATACTAATACATTTTTTATACTACTAATACAAAACAATGGGACCGCAGAAGTCCTACAGGTTTGGAAAATTTTAATGAAACTTTATGACATGCACACATGGCATCAAGACCAGTGAGGTGTCTGCAGTACGTCCCATTAACACAGTCTCATCCGGGAGGTCTTTTGACCATACGTCAACATCCGCCTTTTTAGGGTACCCTTTAACGTCAGTTACATAACGATCCTGGGACGTCATACAACTGACGCTTTACCTTTAACATCAGTTAGGTGACGGGGTAGGTTTAGGTCTGGAGTAGGGTTAGGATCCGATAACGTCATCTAACCGACGTTAAAGGGTACCCTAAAACGGCGGATGTTGACGTATGGTCAAAAGACGTCCCAAGACGTCAGTTGTATGACGTCTTGGTAAGTTTTGGATAAAGTATTGGTCAGTGACGGTGTACTCTCACCTCCATGCTGGTACGATTACATTGGTGTGTGTTTGCAAACCAGAAGTCTCCACTGGCACACTGATCCACATTGAATCCCTGGATATTGACATCAATACGGATCACACCCCTACCACCAGAACACAGAGAGAAACGACAAAGATACGGTAGTGACAACAATGTAACGGTAATGACAGAAGACTTGAAATTAAATTAATTGGATAGTTAACCCCAAAATGGGCATTCTGTCATCATTTGCTTACCCTCATGTCATTCCAAATTTGATGACTGTCTTTCTTCAGTGAACAAACAATTGAAGTCAATGGGGTCCGATGAGGTTTTGTTTCAGACCCTATTGAGTTTCATTGTAAAGACATTCTTCAAAAATATCTTATTTTGTATCCCACAGAAGAAAGTCAGTTATGAAGATAATGAGTAAAAGATGACAGAATACCAATTTTTAAGGGGACTATCCATTCAAGTGCATGGCCAGAGATTACATACAAAAACGAGCAACTGTTTAAACAAGAAGTTGAAGAAAGTGCACTGACCTAAACTCAGGGCTGAGGTCGGGTTTCAATCCGTAAAATGGCATTGAGAGGCTGAGCAACCACCCTGGCAAAAAGCGGCCATCAACACACTCGAGGAAAGGGACGTCGCCCCACAGAACCCCGCTGCTATTGATCACATAACTATCCCCACGTGCCCACTTGGGAGTATCTAGGGTACTTAGGTCATTTAGAAGAACCCGCTTAGACAAGATATGGAGGGGTGGAGAGCTAGACTTGAACGAATCAAACCAGCTTTGGTCAGGGCTAGGAGGACGGAAGCTGCTCCAGACAGACGTCAGGTCCTGCAGGAGAATGTCCTGGGTTGTGCCTTTGGAGGCGCGGAGCACCAGTTGGGGCTGTTGGATTGTGGGGTCCGCGTCGAATGTTAGAAAAGCTCGCCTGACCAGGCCTGGCCTGTCCCCTTCGAGCATGGCCCGGACCAGTGCGTGGTACCACTCGATGTCTTCTCGTACGCTTGTTTCTCTCAGCTCGCTAGCTTGAAATATCAGGTTGAGAAAGTTGGCCGCATTGGTCAGAGACGTTATGGCTTGGTGCAAGAGAGGGAGAAGCTCTCTAGGTGGAGATCTCCGCTGAACAAGCAGCTGGAACGTCTGTGTGCAGGTGGAGGAGGACAAGGAGGACGAATCGCCAAAGTAGAGGTAGTTCTCCACGGAGGAGCGTTCCTCCTCCGTGCTCACTTTTACAGGAGCCGGACTGGTGGGTGCGGGGCTGGGTGACAAGCTGTCCTCAGTAAGACAAGGTGTTGGGGTGAACTCCAAGCTGGACGTGTCCTCAACTTCAGACACGGTGCTGAGCTGAGCAGAAAGCAGGCTAGGCAGCAGAAGCAGAAGAGGTAGCACACAAGCACACAGACCCATCCTTGCAGAAACTTCTCCTCCAATGCTTTTCGTGAAGGAAAAGACCAGCTTTTGCTTTTCCTCACATCCTGAAAGATGCTTTCTCCATCTCGTCTCTTTCCCAGGCTTTTCTTCTTCTCTCCTATTCTTGTTAACCGATTGGTGATGATCGTTTGAGTGCAACCGCACTTTACAGCCAACTGTGTCAAAGAAGTGTGAGTTCACACACAAACTGACATGCACTACTCATTCTCAAAGATGAAGATCGACAACATTTATGCTCCACGCGTCCCACAAGAAGTTGGTCACGTCCTTTCTGGATGTGATGCTGGAGTTAACAGGCCTGCAAGAAACTGGAGTGAGTAACAAAGATCAACAAGAAACCATCGAGAACATGTGGAACAACCCGTTTCTCTCTCTCTGCTCACCTCTTCACTTACTCTGCAGTCCTCCTGTAAATCTGTCCCATCTCTTTCGCTCCCTCTCCCAATCTCCCAGTTGTGGTGAGTGCCGAGAGAGGCACATCTGTTAATGTTGGATTGTTATGATGAGTGTATGTGCATGAGGATGGGCTGATGGATGAGAGGATGGGAGGGTAATCCTCTCGGTTGTGTGTATGCATCAGAATCTCACCGCTTTGTGGATTAACCCAACACTCACCGACTGGGTCAGTCATGAGTGGTCTTTTTATGGACTGACATTGGGAATATGTGCATGCAGCGGTTTACAAGTCTGCATCTGTTTGGCAGATGAAGTGCACTGAAATGCTAATCTCTGATGAGCAAATTGCGTTTTGTGACTGCAAATGTTTTGTCCATCAATCAGGGAAATTAAAAAAAAGAAAGAAAGAAGAAAGCATGTTGCACATGTGTATAAATGAATTAACGTCTGTCATAGATGTGTACGTGAGTGAGATAGAGAGATGATTCAGACAAATCCACTCATACTGGGTAATGCAGGCAAATCCTTGTTTTTGGTGCCATGGCAACAGGGTTCTGAGATTCAACACTCATTCCTGTGGGGCCCCACCCCCACTCAGGACTGCAGAGGCTGTGACTGTGTGTGTGTGTGTGTGTGTGCCCCCCTAAACATATGTGTGAGTGTCTATGTACACACCCTTCTCAAAACCTGAACTGTGTAATTTTTTTTATTTTATTTTTTTAATGGATATATGTGTTTGTGTGTGTTAGGCTATGTGTAACAGTATTGTGTGCATTTAATGGGAGAGGATGATGTCAATGCATGCAATATTTCTCAGTATTGTGAAAACACATTTCTTCTGGATATTTGTGTAAACCCATAACTGTGTTAAAACCCATAAACTCCTTGTGAACAGCAGGTTTTAAAGGGCTCTATGGGCATGTGTAAATTGTTTGAGTAGAGCGACATCATTCGGTCGGTCAAAGAAATTGCATTTCACAAATACAGCTCGAATTTAAAGTCTTGACCACAGAACAATGGGTGGATGTAAACAATAACTGTATTTTGTCCTTTAATTGGCATACACATCATGCGCAGTGATTTTACAATATGTAGGCATAGATGATACTATAATAGCCTACTTTTGGAAAATCATCAAGAACTAACAGAATTATGCTACATCTTTTCAAATTATTATTGCTGCCTCTTTTATTATAGCATATTATTTCAAATGCATTGACATTGTACTTTAAAAAAAATTGCATGTGCATTCGTGATAAAAGCACCCTGTTATGATCAATTATTAGTTTAAATAAGTTATCATTGCTACATAGGCTATATAATGAATAGCCTAACTGGCACTGTCATGATAGTCTTTTGGTTGTATATCTATTTGACACCATGCTGTATTTTTTATTTTATTATTTTTTAATTTTTTGTATATTAGGGTGAGAGTCATTATTCAAATGATTAAAGCGTGCAAGTCAGTTATCGTTGACTCATAATGCAACCGAATTGCAAGGAGAGTTTAATTTGTGTTGAATTCGTGCGGTAAGGCGATGCCACTATAATTGAAGCATCATAAACATCAGTTGGAAAGGCCATCTTCCGGACAACAGCGCGGTAAATGACATGAAAGCAACATTACAGCACGGTGCACGTCACTAAGGGGGACAGCACATAGCCTGCAGCCAAGTGGACAGCAATGGCACCGATAAGACCAAACACGAAACGCATCGAATTTGCGGAAGTGAGCGGGCGGGTGGGGCCTCGGCAGTAATGTGACCACAGACGCCGTTAGGATTGCGTGAAACGAAGCGTTATGTATGACCCTACAAAGACCCGTGGAGATTTTTAAGGCCGGACGCGAAATGAGACGAGGACGTGCGCAATGTTGAAGGAGCGATTGAAATAGAGTTTAAATGCACTAATTGTCTGGCTATGAGTGAGAGGGCTAACTAACACCAAGAGGATTACCATCACCACACAAACGAGATCTCATGACTGGAGCTATGTGAAACGCTGATATCGCTCATTCCTTCAGTATATTGAGGAATAATAATGAACAACGCGCAAGATATGTCTCCCGATTTTGTCTTGATGCGCCTGGTCTCCGCGGCCGAGGATGACCGCTTGGACGAGGAGAATGGGAATCTGTCATCGGGCACTGGACTGACGGTGGCTATCAAGGGGAACTTTGAATGCACGCAGAATCACGGCCACATCTCGGCGGTGAACAAAGCTCCGCAGGCCAGCGGAACGGAGGCACCTGACGCGGGAGTGATGGCGACTAGACCTGCGCTGTCTGTGCCGCCGCCTCCTCTTCATTCAGCCGAGGCCCACGGGTACGATCTCACCCACCGAGGTGGAATGGGGCCTCAGCTGTTGGTATTCAGAAACATATCGAGAGACTCTGAAGGGTTTGCCGAGAACAAGTCGGACGATCAGCGAAGGGCTTTTGAGGAGCAAGCGGTACTCGCTTCGGAGTCTGGCGCTGTGGACGCTCAGCATCCGCCTACATGGACGCTGCATCCACAGCTCAAACTGCCAGCGGTTGCTACGGATACGGAGGGAGCCGAACTGTGTCACCGGCATCGCTTGATAACAGACAAACAAGACTGGCCGCCGGTGGTGGATCACAAAACGGGCTCGATGACAGAGCCGGGCTGGAGCTGCACGACGGCTCTGCCCGAGGGTCCTGTGCTGGAGCTGGCGAGGAAATTCGGCGAGCTGGGAGTCGCTCCGGTACCCGAATTTCTACTGAAGGACGGCGAGCTGCAGCACTGCTCGTGTCAAAGCATGCTCGGCTCGGCTGGAATCAGGCAGGGAGATGACCCGACCGAGACCAGCGATGCTCTGCTGGTTCTGGAGGGCCTCGGGTCAGAAGAAGTGAACGGCCTGGGCATCAATGCCTGTCAGAAGACCGACTCCCAAAACAACGAGCCGGGTGCGTTTGCGCTCAAATGTTTCCCGTCTGTGCTGTCCGGACAAGCTATGGCAGTGTCCGGGGGACTTTGCACACCGGCGTGTTGTTTGTTGCGAGACTCTGTAAACACCAGGCCTCAGGCTCCCACCACAGATAAACTGACTCCCGAGGTTCTATCCCAAGCCGCATCCAACCAGGACACCCCGTGCTCCAGCCAGGCGTCCACACCGAAGGCCCGGTCGACCCGGGCGCATCTTTCCCCGGCCAGCGGAGGAGAGAAGACTTTGAAAGTACCAGGGAAATCCAGGAAGGGCTCTCTTAAAATACGCCTGAGTAAACTTTTTAGAACTAAAAGCTGTAGTGGCTCTAACAACATTTTGGACAAGAGACCTTCAGTCACGTTCTCCATATCATCAGCGGGCAGTTTAGTGGACATGTCTGGAGCGAGCGGTGGGGAACAAGACACAGCCAGGTGAGTTCTTCTGACTGCCCGAACAACCTTGGAATTAAATATTGAAGATCTTATGATTATGTTGTTGTATTCTTTTATTATTAACTTCTTTTCTATTCGACAACAACTTTTATGATTTTCGAGTTCCCTCAGGAACTTTCTTTCTTTCTTTCTTTCTTTCTTTCTTTCTTTCTTTCTTTCTTTCTTTCTTTCTTTCTTTCTTTCTTTCTTTAGAATGGCATCTTATGATAAGTTAATGATTTTAGTTAAAAAGCTCTGAGGTTAACATAATTTGAAGACAATTTCATAGTTGTTTTCATACAACATAAACTACACAGTCATACCTCAAAAGTAGATTTTTAAGCAGTTTTTTTAATATTGCTGTTTTTAATATAATAATAAAAAATATATTATTAAATAACATTTTACAAAAGGTTCATTAGTTAACACCATAGTTAACTAACACAAACTAAGAAAGAACACATTATTAATCTTAGTTTCTTTAATATTAAGTTCAACATTTACTATTATGTTAATAAAATCAATATTTGTTATTATTAGTTAATGTGCTGTGAAGTAACCCAAACAAACAATGAAAAGCTGTAATTTTTATTAACTAACACTAAAAAACTCACACTAATACTGTAACAAATGTATTGCTCATTGTTAGTTCATGTTTGTAAATTAATACATTATCTAATGTAATAAACCTTATTATGAAGTGTTACTAATGTTGCTTTAAAAACGTGATAACTTGCCACGTTTAATGACTAAAACTTTCACAAGAACAAGTTTTTGTGCAACCGTCATAGTCCTGGTTAGTAAAATATGTATGGATCCTTCAACATTTATATGCAGTAGACTACACTGTCAGAAAATTTGATGGACAATTGATGGACAATTTTCATTTTTGAGTGAACTATCCCTTTAAACGGAACATCTGAATATCTATAGAGGAGGGTAAATAAGGTAGAGTTGTCCCTTTAAGGGCACTACCATTGTAACAAGCTGTTGTATCCCTAAAGGTAAACTTTATTTAAAATGACACATTTTCATAGGAGTGTAGGAAAACAGACATTGATGTACTATTAAATAATAAACCTCTTTCTAAAAACCAATTTGAATTTGCATAGAGAATCTGGTGTATTGAAGTATTCTAGTTTACCAACAAATAGACAGCATAATGGAACCAACTATGGTCTTTATCCCAAAAATATTTAACATTTCAATCGATGATTTAGCCAATAAAATTAACCAAGAAATTGGAAACTTTTTTTGCTTTTTTAATTTTTTTTATTTCTCATAAAATGTCCATCATAAAACACATTTCATTAAACATATTGTAATTTTGATTTGTTTTTAAGTTGCAAAGTCATAATTGACCTCAGGTGAGTCAAGTGTGCATACTTCTAATTCATTATAAATTGTAGATAAATAAATAATGATGTCATAAACTTTGAGATACAGAATCATTGTAAATTAATGTGTTGTCTTTTTTTTATTTGAATAATTTAAATGATGATTGTCTTTCTGCAGCCAACCTGGACTAACAAGGGCACAAAGTGCCTTCTCTGCGGCCTCTTTTACTCCCGTTTTCACAGGTAAACGAAGATTTAGGGGAACATATTGGGTTAGAAGCTAAAGGAATCCTTGGAATACATTAAATGATGGCACATTTGCAAGCCACTAATAAGCTTACACAGTGCATGGGAAATATAATGACACAGGCACACGATTTGGATGAGATTAGTC